CACTATATGTACATCTCTGTTCTAAGTTCTTTTATGTATTAAGGTATTTAATTCTTGGGACAAACCTATGAGATCAAGACTATAGTCTCCCCATTTTTCAGATGAGGACCCACTGGCAAAGGATGCCCCGCAAGTAAACACTTGAGTCCACACTCTTAAAATACTAGTCTACTCCACACCTCACACAGGATTTAAAACAGACTGCAGGAAATAGTCGGGCCCAAAGGCCAAACCTGGCCCACCACCTGCTTTTATAAATGAAGTTGAACACAGCCTTGTGCATTTCTTTTCTAGTTTGTCTATTGCTGCTTTTAGGCTACAACGGCAGATTCAAGTAGTCACGACAGAGACCACAGGACCCACAATTTTACCATCCGGCCCTTTACAGAAAACGTTTGCCAACCTCTGCTTCAGAACATAAGCACTCCTTTCTCAATCATCTTTGAGCCATCCCTCCAGCACTCTGAAACTAGCCGGTGCCTACCCAGTAGAAACCAACAAGTGACAGTACTTATAACCTTTCACACATCATTAGAAAACAAGAGAAGAAAAAGTTTGGTTTTTTTAGAATCTTCAAGATGCATCTCAATAAATCTCCTAGACAGAAATAAGACGACATTTGGCTTAGCCCTTTCTCCTCATATCATCTTGAAAAGATAAGGCAGCCAAGGTTCTGAGCTCACTCTACAGAGAGACATGGACTCTGGGCTCAGTCCACTGGAATTTATGGCCTGGGTCCGCCACTTCCTCAGTTCACGACCTTGGGCTAATCACTTGACCTCTGTGTGCCCCAGTTCCACCATCTGTGCAGTGGGGATAATAGTAGACTTAACTCATAGGGTGTTAGGGCCATTAGATATGCAATTGATTTATGGTACTATGTATATAATTTTTGGAGTTAATGTATGTCATTTTAGGATAAAGACCTGACTCCTGTGGAGTGGCAGTTATTTCTCTTTTTCTTCAGGTTATTCAAAAGACTGATTCAGAGATAAATAAAATGGTAAGAGTTGAGAACTCAGTTTTCTAGGAAGATTATCAGTCCTTATTAAATATTCTCCACAACTATTACTTATAGCAGGCTTTGTAAAATAGATGGATAAAAAGGCAATGCTCTCTGACAACTTGAAGTACAAAGCAATGCTCATGATTTTATTTTACTTTATTTATTTTTAAAGTATTTTTATCAATCATGCTATTACATTTTTCCCAATTTCCCCCCTTTTATCCCCCCTCCACCCTGCCCCCCAGCCCTCCAGCATTCCCTGCCTTAGTTCATGTCTATGGCTTGTACATATAAGTTCTCTGAGTCCTCTGTTTTCTGTACCACTAACTCTCCCCATGTATTTTATGTCTACTAATTATGCTTCTTCACTGTGCATCCCCCCTATTCCTCCCTTCCCCCACCCCACTGAAATCCCTCTGCGTGATGTCCATTTCTCTGATTCTGTTCCTGTTCTAGTTGTTTGCTTAGTTTTTGTTTTCATTGCTTTTCTTTTCTTTTAGGTTCATTTGTTGATAGTTGTGAGTTTGCTGTCCTTTCACTGTTCATATTTTTTATCTTCTTTTTCTTAGATAAGTCCTTTTAACATTTCATATAATAAGGGCTTGGTGATGATTAACTTCTTGAACTTGACCTTATCTGAGAAGCACTTTATCTGCCCTTCCATTCTAAAAAAAAGCTTCACTGGACAGAGTAATCTTGGATGTAGGTCCTTGCCTTTCATGACAAGGCTCATAATTTTGGCACAGGAAAACAAATTAAACACCTTCTCAGGTACAGAATGTCGTACATCACACAGAATCCTGACGTAGACAGGAACATGATGGGGCGCAGTCCCCAGGGTTGTCCTGCGGCACCAGAGGACTTGTGCCTGTGAAGGGCAGGGTTCTCTCCTCCCCCTGAGACTGTCATGTCAGGTGGCGCACAGCTCCAGTCTGCACACTGACAGTTCCCAGGTGGTCTCTTTAACTCAGTGTTTAAGTTAAAGAGGAGTCCAACCCATGGCCCATGGGCCACATGTGGCCCAGGACGGCTATGAATGCAGCCCAACACAAAATCGTAAATTTACTTAAAATCTTTTGTTTGCTCACCAGTTTTTGTTAGTGTTTGTGTATTTAATGTGTGGCCCAAGGCAACTCTTCTTCTTCCAGTGGGACTCAGAGACGCCAAAAGGTTGGGCACCCCTAAATGACGTTAAGCAGTTACTTATTGGGAATGATAGTCATTATCTTGAAACTCTATAATATTTGTTGATGTTTATAACACACATATAAATAACAAACTGTGAAATATTGGTACTAAGTAGAGGTAACTAAAATCATGAGCCTCAAAATCGAACTGTCCTGATTCAGTCAGCTTCTATCCATTACCAGATGTGACTTACGCATGCAACTTACATGTCTCAACCTCTGTTCACTTTGTTGTAACATCACAAAACTAATAGTGCCAAAGTCAATCCCTCGATCAGATATTGGACAAGCATTTGTTGAGTAGCTGTGTGCCAGCCTTGCTGGGGGTGAGGGTACAGAAAGGATGCAGCAAACAAAACAGCCAGGAACCCTCCTCTTGTGAGCTTTCATTCACCTTGTGGATTAGAAGCACTTAACACAAGTCCTGGTGCATGTGAAGTTTTCAGACAATATTGGATATCATCACCAGGAATTGCCGAGGATGGAGGAGGAAGACTTCAGACACCAGTACCACATTATGAGCTTGATAATGATGTTGAACTTCTGTATCTGGGGAACCATTTCTGGCTCCGATGTTCTCCATCTTGATCATCTCCCACATGGAGTGACCTGACTTGGGAGTTTAATATTGATGGAGGGTCTTCATCACTGTGACCCAGCCTCTGCCAGGGCACTTACTTAGCGACCGAGTCAGTAACAAGGGTGTGTTGGTTGATCGTTGTGAAGTAGTAAGCACCTTCTGATACATGCTGGAAATATTTCTGTTCATTTAAAGACATTTTATGGGTGACGTAAAACACATTCTTTAAAAAATAGAATATCAGCATTTGGCTGAAATTTGTGCAGAATGATTAGGACAAAAACATTTATGAGAGAAGTGTAAGAAGTGAAGCCACATTAGAAAAGGAAGGTGTGGACACAGACAGAGAGTGTGACCAGTGTGTGGCGGGGATGTGGGCGGTGCGGTTGGGGTAGCGGAGGCTCCAGAGCAGAGAAGATGAGAGTCTGGGAAAACACTTCTAAAACTGATTAGCCACCAATGGGTTTGGGGTTATATTTTTTCCTTAACATCTACAAATAGCTCCCTTCCCAAGAGTCATTTAGGAAACTTATCTTTCAAAGTTCGTAAAGATGTCAATGATTTAGTTATCTTCACTTAAAGAGAGTAATTTATCATCTACTCAAGTGTGCATGTGTCTGCCAGGAAAGCTGTGAGCCCATATACATCATGTTCAGTAGCTTCAAGGATTTGGTCTGCCTTCTTCTGTGTATTTGAATGTAGAATTCATTTCAGCCTGACATTTTTTTTACCTCTCATCATATTTTTGTTCTAATTAAGATCTATAAATGCAACCTCTACCCGGTTTGAGCTGTAATAAATTCCTTCCCTGAATTGGCCTTCTGAAAGTCACAAACCAACAATATGATGAATTGCAAAATGAAAAATTTCCTTTCCACGGTGTTTATTTTGAGGAGAGAAGTGCTAGAGAAAAATGAAACATTGTTTCACTAGAAAGAAGGCCCTGCTCATCGTGGCACATGCCTGTGAGTTGAATGTTTGCAACACTGATTGACCTCAGATTTCCAAAATGGTACAGGTCTAACGCAAGGAAAGGAAGTTTCCGTTCCAGACATTGAGGTTAAATGGTATTAATGGGAGGGGCCCATGATGAGAAAAGTTTTAATCTCATGTAAACCCTGGAGCTACCCGTGTAGGGATGGACTGAGACCATTATTTCTTTGGGAATTGAATTTCCTAAAGTCTATATTGAGGAAGAAAGGAAGAAGGCCATTTGGAGAAAGTACTTTGAGAGAAATGAATATATAGTTTTTATTTTTAAGTCATTGTTTTGCTTCACTATTTGGGCAAGTAAAAACATTATGCCTTAGCTTTGAGATGGCTATGTTGAAATCACACATTTGTCGCTCATATTTAGACCGGTGTTTTGATAGGTACTTAACTTTGGGCACCTTTGTTCCATTACATTATAAGGCATAGCCGAAATTCTATATAAATAAGATTAAAGCATTGCCATAGATAAAATAACAGACATAAGCCTTCTAGACTCTTGATTTTGGAATGGGTTAGCTCCAATATTTAAATAACCCCAATGATCATAGCCCAGTTCAAATAATACTGCTTAATGTGTTAATCATTAATTTTGCATACTTCTCTCTTATTTCCCTCTATGCCTTTGTAGAGTGGGAATTGCCTTATGCATCCTGAATTCATTATCATAATTAGTGTACTGTGCATTGACTGAAGCCAATTTAAGTGGCATATTAGCACTGAATTTGAGCTCCTTTGTTTTGTGTAGATAGTAGGCCATGGAGTTAATCTTTCATTTATAGTGTTTGTTACAGGGCTATGCTAGTGGCTATGACTCATGATCTTTTAGATGATAATGCCTAATTTAAGAGATGCTGTAATCTGAAAAGAATTTTGATTTTCTTAATAATAAACATGGTTACTGGTCCAGCTATCCTAATATCAAATGATCACTGGCATCGCTTTTTCCTCCTAAAAAAAACCAAAATTATTGTTTTCAAATTAGAATTAAACACAAGCAATTACTTAAACCAAATGTTTCACTCGCCACGTAAGGAACCTGCGGTTCCTTTATCAGAAAGCAATGAGGGTTGGAGCCGTAGCCAGGACAAAAAATCTGGTTCTTCTGAGCTCCAGCACCCCAGGAATGGCCCCACCTTGCCAAAGTGGGATAGCCACTGCCATTTCATTGATCCACAGTGTGAAAGCATTCTCTGTTATTCCCGCATCACTGTCTCTCTTTTCTCTCCCTGTGCAGCATCATTATGCACCCCCAAAAAGACGTCCTAATCTCCTGTAGTGAGGACCGCCTCTGGAAGGCACTGGAGATCTCCAAAGCCAAAGTGCTCGTCACAGGAACTGGCCACACCGACTGGCTTTCCAACTGCTGCTTGCATCCCAGGTCAGTGCTCATGAACCCCTGATCCAGCCTGTTCTCTCTAAGGAATGCACTTGTAGATTCTGCTTCTTCACTAACTTGCTTTTTTAAAATTGAAATAGGAATAACAGACAAAAACTGTACCTACTTAATATATGCAACTTGATGAGTTGGGAGATAGGTATACATCTTTGAAAACATCAGCACCGTCTATGCTATAAATGTTTCTATCATCTCCAATAGTTTCCTACCATTCACTTGATTTATTATTATCACCATCGTTAAAATACTTAACGTAAGATCTACCCTATTAGCAAAATTTCAAACACACAACCCAATAGAGCTCTAATACTTACCTTGTATATGTTAAACTGTGTGCTTTGCTGGTTTTGATGACACTATTTTTGTCTCTGCAACGTCACGCCCTCACTGAATTTAGAAAAGTGGAGATAAATGCTCCTTTGGTTTTCATTATATTGACTTCAGATTGATTGCTTTTGATATTTGGGACCTGTAAAACTTAGTCCACGTGCTGATGCATTTAACAAGAGTGGAAAGCTTCCCAGAAGAAGTGTTATTAATGCTTCTTGTACTCACAGGCTCTGACAAGACACCCGGACTTCTAGTCTAATGTATGCTAGTGTTTACTTTGCCTCAGCTAATCTTGCAGGTTTCTCATTTAGAATTAAGTTATTTGGCAAAAAAAGGATCAGAAGGCAGTGATCAATTTTGTTACAGATTCAATGACACTCAAGATATTAAAGAGAACACAGTAGAACTGAAAGCATAGTTTTGTAATTTTTAAGAATTAATTGAATTTTTGTACCATAAAGGCCAAGGACACAAAAGGAAAAATATTACTAAATGCAGAGATGTGTTGAAAAGTTCTGCCCACAGCTGCTTGTAGTCAGCTTCGCCCAATCGAGTGCCTTCTCTTATCCATCATCACACCCAGCATTTGTAAACACGCTTGCATCTGGCTCTTTCCAACATTCTCTGCTCTTATTACTCCGGAGACTCAGTTCTGGTGCAATTTCTAAACCAGTCCATTAGGAAATTTTGTTCTGAGGAAGACTCTTATTGATTTATTTTCATGTTTCCACCAAACTCCTTTTTAAAAACTTTTTTTTTCTTGGTATGATGTCAATGAAATTAGATAGATACGAAGAAGCTGAGTTTTTCAGAAATTTGTGAGCGAAGTCATTTTTTGAAAATTTTCTCAAAGTGTTTCTGCTGATTCATTGTTTGTATACAAAAATGCCTTTGATTTCTGGATATTGACTTTGTATCCTGCTGTTTTGCCAAATTCATTAATTAGTTTGAGCAGTTTTTGGGTAGAGTCTATAGGATTTTCCATGTACACTATCATGTCATCTGCAAACAGTGACAATTTTGTTTCCTCCTTTCCTATTTGGATGCCTTTTATTTCCTTTTCCTGCCTGATCGCTGTGGCCAAAACTTCTAATACTATATTGAATAGAAGTGGTGAAAGTGGACATCCTTGTCTTGTTCCTGATCTTAGTGGAAAAGCTTTTAGTTTTTGTCCATTGAGTATGATATTGGCTGTAGGTCTCTCATAAATGGCCTTTATTATATTGAGGAATGTTCCCTCTATTCCCATTTTGCTGAGTGTTTTTATCATAAATGGGTGTTGTAATTTACCTTTAGTGCTAGATGTTTGAATTTAATTTTTGAACATGTAGTGCATCCCACATCAGGTACATAGAGAAACAGAACCACACCACCTCTCTCATCTTTTAGGAACACAGAACCCAAGTTGCAAGCAGAGACAACACAATTAGAAGTATAGCCTATCACTTATGTAGCTGCTGGGCATGCTAATCAGATTTCTATGATGCACGGTTACCATGGCAGCCAGTGACTCAGCTATTTCCTCATTAGTGCTTGACCAGGGTTCTTTTAACAGGTCTTCCTGTTTCCCATTCAATTACTGAAATTAAAATGAGGTGAAATATATCATTATTCACTCATAAAATAAATTTACTTTCAGCACTGTCTTTGGCAGAATTTTAGTAAAATGTAGTTACACTGTTTGCTCTTTTCTCATACATGAAAGAAAATACATTTAACTCTAAGTGGTTATTTATTTATTTGTTTGTTTATGCTGGTTTTGTGCTTGCCTTCGGGGAGAAGTTTAGTCCCTGAAAGTCTTTTTTTTAAAATATATTTTATTGGTTATGCTATTACAGTTGTCCCATTTCCCCCCTTCATTCCCCTCCACCCGGCACACCCCCTCCCACCCACATTCCTGCTCTTTAGATCATGCCCATGTGTCATAAGTGTTTTTAAATGAGTAATATTCAACAGCAAATGTTCTTTTGTAGAACTAATGAACAGGAATGATTATCAAAATAATAAAAAACGAAAAATTTTAGGTAGAGATCATCCTTTTAAAATTGTTTTTTAAATTATCATTTACATTCATTATTATTTTGTTTAGTTTCGGTTGTATAGCATAGTGTTTAGACAATCATATATGATTGTCTGTCCAGGAAGTATCTAGCCATGTAATATGAAAAACAGAGACATCTATTGAAAAAGATACCAGGTACAGGAAACACTGTACATAAGACAAGGACACCTCCATCTCCTTCAAAGTAGGTACCTTGGTACCTCACACAGTTCATTTACTGATATTCTCAGTAAATGTAGCCACATTTTTATTTTCCTTAATGATAATGTTATTTTTATTAAAATATTTTCAACACTTATATTTTAAACATATTTATACTCAAAATATAAAATACATGTGGAAAACTTCTAATTATGCAAATATACAGACTATACATACTAAAGGCATTTAAAAACCCTCATTACAAAGGCTATATTGCTCCAGAATAACATTATACACATGACTAATTATCGCCATGTATTGTTTACAATATAATTGGTTTTGTTTATACCTAACTTTGTAGGTTCCTTAGTAGGATTTGTGTATCAGGACTCTTCTTAGGAGTGACATGGGTAACCTAATCACTGTAGAACTGGCTGTTATTACATAGTTACCCATAGAGGGCAATCAGACATTGGTAAGGTAAAGCACTCTGCGTATTTACTTGGTAGACTGATGAACTAGCTGTTGAAAGTTATTCGTAGTCACTGACTGATGACTGAATGGAGTAATTCAGAGGATGTTCATTGGCACTGTCTTTGCACTGTTAGAAAACCAAACGTACAAGGCTAGAAAGAGCATGCTGCAGTGCAAGGGAGAGGTGCATGGGAACATGCCCAGTACAAGCTAGGTCTAAACATCTAGCACTTGGGGTCTGAGTTTCATGTTCCCTTGACAGACTCCTAGCTTTAAGTTTGCTAGTCCCATCCGTTTCATCACCTGTAAAATTGGTATAATATAGTCATCCCTAATTTATAGGTCAATTATGAAGGCTATAATATATGAAAAACAAAAATACTTTTATTGCCTGCAACATGTAGGCTCAATAAATGTCACCCATTATTATTTTTATTCATTCATAAGAATTTGAGAACTTAGAGAACTCATAGCTCAAAAGTTGCTATAAAACAGATAACCTTAAATACAATGGGCTAAGAAGGAAAAGAGGCTTTTGTGATGTCAGGGTTACACCAGGCTCCATTAAAAGAACATTACTCATGAAACGTTAATTGGGAACACCATGCCTCAGGGTCTGAGCAGATTAAACATGGAAAACTTATAAAGCAAAAAAAGAAATATAATTACTGTGAAAATATTTGCTGTCTATTGGTTTTTAGCCCTTAAAATATATATTTGAAAACTGTACCAATTAACTCTTTGTATTCTTTTTTTACAGAAGAGAATTCTGTACATAAATTTTATATATATATATATATATATATATATATATATATGATTTAAATTATGTTTTGGGAGAAAAACATTTTTGACCAAAAAACACAAATGCTTTTTAAAATAGGTTTTTTTTTCCATTTGGTTCAGTTTTTTGAATAATACAAAACATGTAGTGTTTAACCTCTATGACCACGGGCATGTTTGATTATATTGTTGGTCCATTTAGATGAGCTTTGAGCTACTGAAATAGAGTTGCATATCAGTCTACAGATCAATATTAATAGATCAATAAAATACATACTGCACTAACTTAATAATATATTATTTGATCTTTCCCTCTACCAAGTAAATGACAATAGTGTGGATTTGAATGTAAACACGATGTCCGTTTTTCTGATACTTAGGGCTGCCTTTTCTTGTGTAGGGACCGCAGCTGATTATGTGACACAGCATATATCTTCCCAGATATCTCTACAAAATAAAAGCAGTTGGGATTAGTGGTTTAAACAATTTCACGATGTTGCCTGTTTTCCTAAGTTCACTGCCTGAGGCAGAAAAAGAACTGATAGTATCCTGTTAAACATAACTTCTCCCTTGATAAGGTGTTTTGTGAATTATGAATAAACGACCCTTTCCAAAATCCCTCATACTTTCTCTTCCCTGTACAAGCTACCTGTTCATGTATTTATATTGTGACTAAAATCACAATGTGGAAGCTCCTTGACAAGGATGTCAAGTATGCCATAAAAGAACTGAAGCGTGGATGATCTTTTTGTTTGCTAGAAACAAAGTCAAGAGTTCAAATTTCAAAGCACAATGAAGAAATTGATGTACCATTTCCCTAAGACTGTGGTGTTCTGTGTCTTCCTGAGTTTCAGAGGTAGATGCTTCCATAATCAGAAACCTTATTAGATTTTTAACAAGATTGTTTTTGAAAATTTACTCATTTTTTGAGAGAGCAAGAGAGAGACACAGAGAGAGAGAGAGAGAGAGAGAGAGAGAGAAATACTAATTTTTTATTCTACTTATTCATGCACTCGTTGGTTGATTTTTGTAGATGCCCTGACTGGGAATCAAACCCACAACTTTGGCATATTGGAACAGTGCTCTAACCAACTGAGCTCCCTGGCCAGAGCTTTACCAAGATAGTTTTTAGACATACCTGTTAAATAAAAATATCCTACTTCATATTTTCTGAAGAGGTTGTGTTGTGCTT